CTTTATCTTTCTACACTACACAGATTTTGTATTTTATATGTTATTTTGCCAAAACATTCATAGATATGCTAATTTTAAGCTATCGATGATTGAATTGAAGACTTGGTGAGATGAGCATAAAAAAGTCTCATATATACAGTATATCCGTTGTACTGAGTATATCTGTTATACTTACAGGCCAATCTTTCTATAAGATTGAAAACAATTTCATACGTTGAAATTGGCTGTTATCTTCCCATTCCCTTAATCTGAAAAGATTAAACAAGTGGATTTGAAAAGATCTACTTACAATTTGATGAATTGACGGCTTACGCGGAGGATTTCATTCGTTCTTGTGTACGATGTAATGATTCTCATTTCATCATAAGGGGGAGTATGTAATAACGAATGAAATGTCCAATTCCGAACATTTTAAAGGGAATTTGATGTAAAGATCAAGGGGGAGTAACTTCAATGATGGCAAAAGACTCAAAAGACTCAAAAGGAGTGCGACTGGAGATAATTACAGAAAGATTATTCCTGTGCTACAACGACTGAGAGTTTTTGAATGAGAAGATCATTGTTTCAAAAGTTTACCATCAGAGTTCTATTTTCAGAGAGAATTTGTTAGAGTATGTAGTCTAAATATTCTTTGAAGATCAATTCTGAAGATTGTTATTGTTTCTGATCTATATTGTCAAAAGAGAAAATCATTGCGGTTCTACATTCAGGGGGAGAATGTTAGAAGATCTTTCTCAACAAATGATTGTCTGAAAATTTTATGTTGAAGATTGTTTTTGAAGAAGATATAATGTGCTTAAAGCTTCAAAGTTCAAACGAGACTCAAAGCGCAAAAATTCTTTCAAGTCTGAATACAAAGGGGGAGAATGTTAGGACTGAAAATCAGTGTATAATTATATTCGCCTTGAAAGATAAAATTGTCTATAATTGTGTAAAAGTCATCATGTTTGACTTTTCTTAGAGATGTTTGACTTTGACTTTTGTCTAAAGGGTAAATCCTTGTAAATTTTGTAGGATTCTCATTTTGTAATATCTGATACGTTTTATAAAGTTTGACTAGATTTGTTGAGTTGACTTTCTCTCTCTCTATCTCCTTCTAAGTTCTTAATAGAAAATACAGATCTTCCATTGTACTTGAAGATTTAAGGAAAATTGATTGATATTGGACTCTCAAAGAACATTCAACTTGAGATACTAATTTGTAACCTAAACTTGTAGAAGCCGAACATATTCCAATTGTGGTTTTCTCATTAAGGATTCAAAAATTCATAGAAGGTAAACTAAACACAAATCTGCCAATAAGCCCGGGTATTATCAAAATCCTAGACAAAGTAAAACTTAAGTGCATCTCTTTTTAAGCTAGTAATAAAAATAAGTAAATTTCAAGTCTGTTGAATAAGATAAACCGCAAAAATAACACCTCAAATCCAAGCTTTGTTCTGCACCAGTGTCTGCGCTTGGCATTGTACCTGAACAAATTAAAATCATGTCAGCAGAGACCTAAAAAAAAGAAACCAAAAACATACCCAAGTGTAAAAATAGTTTTTACCTGATTTTGTTACCAGTCCTCATGTGAATCCAATTGGGAATGGGCCTGTTCTGCCTCATCTTCTTAGAAAGCTTCTTCTTGATCATGATCATCTTGTGTGATGGCTGTAAACAATAAACACATTTAAAGCAAAAGATTAACCACTTTTTGAATAATTCCAAATGAATAGCAAATTAGAACAATGTCTATTTCATACAATCTATAAACTGCCATAGATATAGACCTTCATTAGTGTAATAAGGTTTTCAAAATGGACATCTCAAACCATCAAGATCGATAAATGAAAGTGAATTGAGGTGAGATATGGTAAACCAAAGAACTAAGCATGGTCACGTTATCAAGGTTTGGGATCATGTTCCAAAACCACAAATCAAACCATAAGCACATGAAATTTGATCCAAAGATTAAGCACGATCACACATATCAGGGATCGGAATCACGTTTCAAAACGAAACACCATTTGCACATGCAATTTGATCCAAAGAACTAAGCATGGTTAGGATATCAAGGGTAAGGATCATGTTTTCGAACCACAAATCAACACATGCAGATGTCACGACCTAAAACAAGGTTTCAACAATCTACAATTTTCAGTATCATAAACGAATCTAAAGAATATCCAAAAAGCTTATGTTCCCAATCACAGCTTTGAAGATCTTATATGAAACAATTTTGTTAACTTGCATCCAATCAAAAGCCATTATATGTCTAAAAAGCTGTTTAAAAGCACCTTCTATTTCCTAAAACAAACTCGCTTCGTAGGACAGAATTAGTACAATAATGTAACTCGATTGTGAGCACATGGATTTAGCAATTAATCACTTAAAAACCTAAAAGAACCAATCACGAACTACAAAATTCTCAAAATCCATATCAGCTTCAGCAATTAATCACTTTTATGAACCAGAAAATGTGAATTCTCAATGCCAAATAGCCTTCTAACTCATTCTAAGAGAACAAATACACTTAGGGTTTGTAATTCGTAGGAAATAATTTAACATTGAACAAAATGAACAGCGTTAGATTACCATGGCGGAGATCCTGATTCCTTCTCTGGTGCTCAGACGGCAAACGACGATCACACCTTGGCTGACTTGGCTATGGGTTTAGTGTTTTGTAGGCTCAAATTTAGGGCTCATTTTGGAGTTTGTTTAGATAATGACAAAAGTAATTACCTGGAGATGAAATATTACAGGGTGATGGATCGATTGGATTAGAGGAGCCATGGATTGATTCCAATAGGAGCTACGAAAAATAAAACGGAAGCTTGAAGGTAGGGATGGAGGCTTGAAGCTTGAAGGATCGATAATGGGTAAGAATCCTAACTTTATTGATATATATATATATATATATATATATATATATGACACTAGATCGATAGAAGCTTGAATATTGGAGAGATCAATTTGAGGAGGGAAGTGTGTCTGATATGAATCTTGGGAACCTAAAAGCAATTGATCTATAAATGTTGGGAACCTAATCGTCGTCTTGGGGAGATCACTTTTGATTATGCTTTAAGAATATGTACTTTGTGTTTTATATGTTGTATTTAATTTAAGACTTTAAGACTTTAACAAATTTGGTTAATAAGATAGTATATATATACACATACACACACACACACGAAGATTCAAACGAGAACGATGACTATTTAAAAAAAAGGTCGTTAATGTACAAATTCACATGTGATTACATTAACGTCAAAAAATAGAAACGTACGACTTTTGAAACTGTATGATTTTGTACATGAATATATATATATATATATATATATACGTGAATCATGTATGATTTTGTACGTGAATCATATATGATTTTGTACATTAACAATCTTTTTTCTTGTTCTCTTAAATAATTAGCGTTCTCGTTTGAACCTGATCTCACATTATGTTTATATATATATATGTTTATATATATAGAGGAGTGATCAAATAAAAACCGCTCTCATTTGTGTAAACCGTGCAAACCACCTTCATCCGTCGATTTCATTGTTTAATCTTATGAAAAATTTTCATGAAATTGTTTAATCTTGTGAAATTGTTTCATTTAATACTTTTTTTTGATGAAGTTGTTTCATATATGGTTGTGAAATTGTTTCATATAATACTTAATGAAACTGTTTCATGTATTTCTCTAAAATTGATGAAACTGTTTCATGTATTTCTCTAAAATTAAAATAATGAAGATGATAATATCCATGATTAACACCCTTCACAATAAAAATGGTTAATCAACCTCTCATAATTACAAAAAAATGAACAAAATGAAAATTTATGATTGGTTGAATAAGGTTTTCACAGTTTTTATAAATTGAGTGGTTTTTATTTGAACGCTCCCCTATACATATATATATTTGGGATCACGTGAGACCAACCTGTTTTCGTGAGACTCGTTAGACCACTTTTTTACACTTGAAAACTTCACAGCAAAACACTGTGAAGGTAACCTTCACAGTGTTTTTGTTGTGAAGGTTCGATTTTTTTTTACCTTCACAGCGTTTTGCTGTGAAGTTCCAAGTGTAAAAAAGTGGTCTCACGGGTCTCACGAAAACAAGTTGATCTCACGTAAACCCAACCCTATATATATAGGCTCATTCACGGAAGAACTGAATAGTTTGTGGTAACCGTGAGATCATATGTGAACCATTCGTTTGAGATATTTAAGGATATTTCTTAAATAAATTAAAAGGGTAATATAGTAATTATATTTTTGACAACTAATCAAAATATTTAATTAAACTTTTTAGAAGGAAATATTTAATTATAATTATTTACCTAGTATTTCAATTACCTAATATACATCGTATTTTAAAGACGTTTGTGAATAAAAGTTTATCATAGTGGTAACGTTCAAATGTTTCACGTGTATCACAATGTATTTTCTTTGTTTTATGAAATATATCATATTGTGCATTTTCGTTATTTTCATTGTTTTACAAAGGGTATCACATTGCGCATCTTGTATGTATATCTGGGTGTCACAATGAATATCGTCTGTAGATATCGCAGTGTGTATCTTGTGTTCAGATAAGGTTCATCGGAATAATATTCGGCGAATAAGATTCGCCGGACAGAGGAAAGAGAAGAGATGAGAGAGGATATTTATAAAATCCATGAAATGCCCCTAATTAATTAATATTTTAAGTTACAATTACCAAAATTATTGATTTCCTAATTTAACATTTGATTTGTGGTTGAGATAGGATCTCACGATTACCACAAACAAAACAGTTCTTATTTGATTAGCCATATATATATATATATATATATATAGAGTTTGTTTCAAATGCAACCCATTACATTTGTATAACCAATGCAACCCAATAAATTGAAATATTCATAGAAATGATGAGAGTTCATTTATTATGATCAATACTTTATATTAGGAAACAATCAAAACTTTTATAAAATTACATATTCATCAAATTAAATGGACGGTTGAGATTAGGTTGTATTGGTTATACAAATGTAAAAGTTTGTATAATAACCCACCCACCTCTCTCTTTATATATATATATATATATATATATATATATATATATATATATATGCATATACCAACATGTGGAGCTGGTTATCATCACCCAAACAATGACCATAGAAATAGAGTTAGTTGAAGGAAAAGTCTTTTTATTTCCCAGTGATCATAGATTACAAATAGTAGCTCATACAACTATTTATACATAAAGAGAAATAAGAGTTTATAATCTATAAGAGTTTGTTCCTGCAATTTGTCGATGATAATTCTTTTGACTTCGTCTAATACCTTCTCTCAGGTTGAACTTTGGTGGCCAATGTTTAATTTGTCACGGGATAAAAATCATCTGTTCCAAATTTTTAAGGGACTGTTTGACAATTGCTGAATGGTTTGGTGCAGAATGATTAAGTGGTCAGAATGATTAAGAGGCTCTCATAATATAGTGCAAAATGAAATCTAATTGTTTGGTAATTGTGGACACTGAAATTAGGGCTCTTAATGGATAAAGGAAATCCAGGATACAAAATCATTTAAAGAGTTTTAGAACCATTAATAGATAGATTTTTTTTGTCAAACAAGATTCACCTCTTAATGATTCAGAGATTTCCTCTTAATGGAACTATTAAGAGGTAAACAAACAACCCCTAAGTCTTATTTATGTCCACTAATCAGATAAATACACATCATCAGAAAGAGAATGTGAATTTGAATAAAATATATAAAATATGTTTTATCTTTATTTCATTGGTTGGATAGCAATATCTCGCAAATTTTGAAAAATGTCCTATAAACTCGTCTTTTTATAGGACACTTGTGTTTATAAGACATTTTTTCAAATATTGTAGTACAAATTAACTAATACGACACTTTATATTAAAAGTGTCCCTAAAAACTTGTTAAAACACTCAAAACATCTTATAAACCTATTGTAATACTTTTAGATGAGACGTGTTTATGCCAAAAATTACACTAAGTAATACTTGAGATTTGTTTGTGGAACTTTAATAACTAAAGATCAACTACCTTGAAATAAGCACAGGGAAAATAATAAACAACGAGGCAAGAGAATAGGTGATGTGGAAAAACCCTTAAACAAAAAAAACCACAGAAGATGCAGGAGATCGTCGATGTACTATTGACGTCAAGAAGGGACGTCGTCCTTTGGAACAATCTATATATCTATATAAAGCAGAAACATGCAGCGCTGACGTGTCATCACTTCAAAACAACATTCTTATCTTCCCTTTTCCTCAGATTTCCCCTTTTTTCTCTCCCATTTAATCCAAAGCAAAACCTTCCGTCTTCTACTGTTACGTTTTCCCTTCTTTTCCATGGTCAGAAACTTCTTCTTCTCCATGGTCAAAAACTTCTTTTGCTCCATTGATAAGTTACATTTTTGTTCTTCTCCATCTCCCAATCTCAATCCGCAGTTGGATTTTTTTTGTAATTTCACATTAAGTTTTCCAATCCATTGTGCATCTGCTGTACATGAGTATCAATAGGTATGCTTGTGTTTGATCTTTTATGTTTTTTGGGGTGGGTTTCGTTTTTGAAATTGGAAGGTTTGTCTTCTATCTCCCTCAGTCTCTTCTGCTCTATCTCGATCTCATCACCTCAAAAT